CCAAAGTGTGGCTAAGACATTCTTATTAAATGCTTCTGCTGTTTTAAATGAATGTTTTACATTATGTTTGTTTATGGATGTACTACGTGTGAATGATATTCATGACGCCTTGTATAGTATGGATGAGTTGGACTGCGGTTGACTATTCGTACTGTACGGCGGGTTGTTGACGTGTCCGGGTAGGTCCGGGGCGTGACAAACTCCATACCAACACATACAATATTATACATGTTTGGTTTTCACCAAATTCATTTGTACATTAACAAATACAATCATATCTCTGAACACTTTTATATAACCACATTAACAATTACTAAACTCATCAAAATGTACTATAAAATAACTAAACTCGTCAAAACAACCCACAAATATACATTCCCACATTAATAACAATTCATATGCTTCCTCCACCTTGTTCCACATATTTGCATACTCGCAACCTGGAATCAATGACTTTTCCATTTACAGGTGCTCTGCAAAGGAAGCCACCATCACTCATTCTCCCGACCTGTAGACAGACAACTCTGAATAAAGGTCAGACATTTTATATATATCACATTACAGACAATTTGTTACAATACATATGTAGACAGACAGACTATTTTCACATTACATACAACTCAAATAGAATGCCAGACAACGCTTTTCACATACAGACAACTACAAATCAATTTTAAAGAATTCATTTCACATTACAGACAAATCAAATGGAATGCCAGACAACTCTTTTCACTTCATAGACAACTACAAACCAATTTTCAACATCCGAAGAGAGACATCACAAAAGTCATCACACATACTATAAAATACATTTGTAAAATAAGAAGATGTGCATACATACAGTTGCTCTATGTACTCAAACAAATAAATTTGTCTGTCCAGATAGACATCTTATGTAAGACTCCACCAATTATGAAACCATGCTCAGCTAGACAGACGTTGCACTTCAAATTTGTCTGTCAGACAGACAACCCCTTTTCATGTGGAGTTGGATGAAAAATACCAAAAACATGAGGAAAAAATAGCAAAATGACGAAACAGTGCCTCATGTGACGGATGGGGCTTCCACCGGCCTCTACTGCCAGAGATCTGAGGCGTCGGGCCGTGCTTCGATTTATGGAGGATTTCTGATCGGCGAGCGTTGAGGAGAGGGGTTCGTGGGGGTGAGGACGGGGGTTGGTTGTTTCGTGGGGGGCATGACGACGATTGGTTGTTTCGTGGGAGCCAGGACGGCGGTTGTGGAGGATGGGTTGGGAGCTGTTGAGGTTGGTGAGGGAAGGGAGTTCTTGGAAAGTTGTTGGGGAAAGAAAAAGGTGGGAGGAGTGGGAGATTTGGAAGTGGAGCTGAGGGGGAAGGTTGTGGGGAGGTGAGGGAGGGGAGGTGAAGTGAGGGGGTAAATTTTTTAGAAAGTATTTATATGAGGTATAAAATGGGTAAGGTTGGGGTATCTATAGCAAAATTGTAAGTTAAAAATGGTCTGAGCGAATAAGTCATGTTTTAAAATAAGTCCTAAGTAAACAAGAGTATATGGCTGACCGAATTAGTCATTGTTTCCATTCAGACCATTAAGTCGAAATGAAACAGCCCCTTAATATACTAAGAGTTAATTGTTAAAATAAGACTAAAAGCTGGTCACTTTACACAAATTAGACCAAAAAATAAACTATGTTTCATAGGACTAATTATTTGTGTATTGGAATGTTTTAATTTATAATAAAATAATAAAAAACAATAAATAATTTGTAAAGAATACTAAAAAATTTATAAAAATATTTTAAAAATAATAATTAAAATTTTTTAAAATTAAAACAAAATAAAATCGCAAAAAACAATCACCGTCTCCTTTGCCGCCCCAGCACCACCACCTCTGGTCATCGTGGGAAAAAATGTCACATGCATTAGGAATGATATACTTATGACAGATTCAATGAAAATTTTGGTATTCTCAAAGACTAATATGTCATTTTTTGGCTTTTTCATAAAAAGTAACATTTTTAAGAAAAAACGGATTTTTTTACACAGGTCGGAGGTGATGGTGCAGGGAGGCAGTACAGGCGGTGAGAAAGACATCCATAAATTTTTAAGTTTTTTTATGGATTTTTTTTATAAATATTTTATTTATTTTTTGTTAATTTTCTACGGTTTTTAATTTTTTTTTTACGAATTTAAATGAATTAAAAAATTTAATTATGACCTTTGACTACCTTTTACTCATATTTAAAGGAGGGGTAAGAATGGAACGAAAAAATAAGTATATTTCCGGTACGACTAATATAGTCCTATTTTGGAATAAAAACATAAGATGTCTTATTTTTTATTTTTGCCGTAATTTTAGTCCTATTTGGAGTAATTAATGGGCAGCTGTGTTTCCTATTTGGAAGCACATGGCTCATGTGACTTCCAACGTTAGAAACAAGCTGTTGGCATTGGTATGTGCGTTTCTTGATCTGGCTACCCTGTTTCTTATCTGAGTTTTTGCCACTTTTGGTCCCTCAACTATTGTGTAAGTGACACTTTTGGTACTCGACTTTTAATTTTTCTATTTTTAGTCCTCGACTATTGTGCGAGAGACACTTTTAGTCCCCGACTTTCAATTTTCCCACATTTAGTCTTTTAAGTATTATCAAATTGACAATTTTAGTCCTTCTACTATGATTTTGACACAATAAGTGAAGGACTAAAAATGTCACTATTGCAATAGTTGAAGGATCAAAAGTGTCACTTTTACAAAAGTCGAAGGACTAAATACGAAAATTTTTAAAGTCGGGTACCAAAAGTGCCTCTTGCACTATAGTCGAGGACTTAAAATGGAAAAATTAAAAGTCGAGTATCAAAAGTGTCACTGACACAATAGTCGAGGGACTAAAAGTGGCAAAAACTCTTTCTTATCTTGTTAGTTGTTAACCAATAACCTCATGGGCGGAGCTAGGGGTGGGCTAACCTAGGTCATGGCCCATCCCAAATTTTAAAAATGGCTTAATTTTTAAGGTAAAAAATTTTGTGTAAATTTTTTTCTAAAAATATTCTTTGTACCGGCTCAACTCGACCTAGTGCTCTGCCTCCGCCCCTGATTTATAACCTCTTCCTCATTATATTCCACAACCCGCCTTCTTTTCTGCCCTACACTCCCCTAGGGATGGGTGCAAAATACCGTAACCGTCTAACCGTTTAAAAAACCGAATAACCGTTGTTTTTCCGGTTAACCGTACCGTTTTTTAGAAAAATCACGGTACAGTTAACCGGTTAAATAAAATTATGTTTGACGGTCGGTTAACCGATTTAAAGTTAATGAGCATGGATTTACCGAAGTTCAACTATCTAGCTACCCTAGCCGCTCCACCAGAGAAAACGTCTTTTCTTCTTCAATCTTTTTCCGTCGATCTGATCTATTCGGGGAGGGGAAGAATCACGTTCAAATAGAACGGGCTATTGACTGGATTTGGAAAAGTGAGCATGTTCTCTTTTCTAAATAAGGAGTGAGATGTTTTTCTTTCTCTCTTACAAAAGTTGTGCTTTCTCCTTCAACTTTTCTGAGGCTTTCTTCTCTTACTTTATTTATTTAAACTGTTTTTCAAAAGGGTCATATTAATATATAACTAGTTATGGGTAAAATTTAATCTGTAATTCATAAAAATTGCTTAAACATAGATACACATAGACTGTGATCTAATGTCCGTTCCTCGATAACCTTATATTGTAGTTGACTCAAGTGATTAAGAACCTAAATGAAAATTAAAACCTGCCATCAGTTAATTAAGACAAAAGGATGTGGATTTCAGAAAATATTTGGTTAAAGAAATGACAAACCGCATTATAACTATAGGAATTAGTTGTTTTTATGCATTTGTAGTTCTAACATGCTGCGGTGTTGCTACAATATTTTTTTGCAATAGTATTTGATGTGTTAATTTTTATGGTTTATGGTTTGTGGTTAATCGAGTGAAGTTTTGGTTAACCGAGTATCGGTTAACCGAAACTTTAGTTAACCGTGTACTCGGTTAACCGAAGTAACCGGTTTCTCGGTTAACCGGAAAGTTCGTTAACCAAAATCTGGTTAACCAATCATGCCCACCCCTACACTCCCCCGTCCAGCACCAATACTTCTTCCATCAATGTGATTTGGGTCAGAACCCTTTTTCCATTAGGCAAAGGCACCGTCACCATTTAGTACCCCCTCTCGAAATTCTCGTTTCTGAGCTACCACAATGAGTATTGCCCCATCTCCCGATTCCCCTTGGACCCTTTTTGTCGCTCGTGAAGACCGCTATTGAACCAGCCGCTTGTTTCTAGTCCCTGTCTTTCCTTTTCTTCGGTCTTCTCGATCATACAGTTTCTCAAACATACCAACATAGTCTCCATTTCTTCATGTCGCCTACACGGTTGAAACTTGAAACAGAACAGATATCATCTTGATATGATATCCTTTATTCTAACTCTTTTAACTGGTCTAGCGGTGCTCTCAAGGCGAAAAAGGGTTCTCACCGTCTTTAGTTCATAATTTATTTAGGATGTGATTTTCTGGTATTGTTAGTAGCACTTTTTAATGATTGTTTTAGCAATTAGAACCTCACTGTTTCCATAACTTCTTTTGCCATTGTTTGTTACTGTATGGCTCCTTTCAAGCCATTAGACATGTAAGAGTTGTTCTCATCTTTGTCATCATGCTTCTCATATCTGCTATTGCCACGGCACAATAGGGTATTGTCTGGAGGCAATCCAAGGGCAGAAAGCAAAGGAAGAAAGTGTATGAGATGTATGGAAATGGAATCCAAAGACTTATAAAAGACAGAGAACCCCAATCCGATGAACCTGTGGATTGTTATACAGGGTCAAATAGCTCCCTCCTTGTAGATTTATCTTGAAGAAAAGACGAAGACCTTAACAACTCAATTAAGTTTATTTCTAGTCTAGAGTGATATGTGTGCCTCTAATTGTTGGACTTGGATTCACCAATATCTTATTGGATATACATTCTCATGTTCTCATTTAGCATGTATTTATTGGTTCATTAAAAGTGATTTTTTAATATATGGCATATTAAAAAATGTACCAATCAAACATATGTACAGATAGTATTTTGTGGGAAAAGAGTGAAACTACTACTCGTAAATAAAAGATGAGATTGATCGAGTGATGAAAAGAAATGATGGGTTTGTTAAGGCCGCCCGCCATCAGCATATACAGTTCATGAATGAGAATGGTTATTAGGAAGGAAGCGGGAGTCCCAGATGAGCGGCGGCTGACCTTGCCATTAGGGTGGCAAATTCATTGAAGCTTATAACCCCGTCGCCGTCGCTGTCCGCCTCCCGTATCATCTGCGTCAGCTCTCTGTACGTCAACGGCTGCCCCATTTTGGCCATGGATCCCGCCAGCTCCGCCAGCGTGATGTAACCGTTCCCGTCCCGGTCGAACGAACGGAACACCTCCAGCAGCTGTTCCTTGTTCACCAGGATTTCCTCCGGCATGATTGCTCCGGCCAGCTCGTCGAACTCCACGGCTCCGTTCCCGTTCGCGTCCATGTCGGCCAGCAGCGTCTGGATCTGGTCCCCTGACGGCTTCAGACCCAAGGAACGGAGCAGAGCCGCCAGCTCCAACGCCGTCAAGCTCCCGTCGGAATCCATGTCGAATCTCGAGAATATGTCCCTTAATTGTTTCAACTGCTCGACTTTTATGTCGATTGACATTTCAATCCCCTTCTGATTCGTTCCGAGTGCACCGACGCAAAAACAATAGCGGTGGTCGGAGAGTAGGGGAGGAGATCAGGAGACGGCGGCGGAGTCGTCGGTCGGTGCGAGCTAGTTAATGATGCACAACTGCTGGTTTGGTTCTTATATACTCCGTATCTACTTGGAGTTGGGACGGGAAATATTCTGAACAAGGAAAGGTATACGGTATATCTCAAACTGTTTGTCACATGGGAATGAAACTTTCACACTTCTCTTTTTTTTTTTCACGCTTCTTTTTGTTGAACCTGAAATCTCAATTCAACAATCTCACTTGATCACCCTTCAATATACCTTTGAACTTCTAAAAGATGCAATTTTTTTTTGACAAAATTCATAACAATAATCTCTACATTTAGTGATTCTATAATAATAATCTCTATTAAGAATGTCTATAAAAATAACAATTTTGCTTTGGGTACACACTTATCATACACACACATACACACTATAAATAACCTAAAAAATTACTTCTTTTACCCCCCTCTCCTACCACACGTGCAAAACAGAGTCTGCAAAACAACCCCACCCTCCCTCCTCACTTCCCGCTTGTTGCTTTCTTTCTTCTTCCCGCAACATCATCCAACTGCACAATTGGTTTGTTCTTCTCTTCAAACCAATGGATTTTGGTGGTATTGTGAACGAAACCATCATTGATACTACCGTGGACGACTTTTGGGCCGATTGGGATCAAACGATCGGTGGTTCTCGAGTTGAAGGACAAATTCCGGTGGCGGCGGAAGTTGATGGCGACTCGGCGGCGGCCGCCATGGACGACGTCCCTGAGCTTGGTATGAGTTCGTTTTGATTTCATTTGCTTTAAAGTAAATATATATGTGTTTGTTCTTCACAGACAATTGACTGTATTTGTGTAGTGTTTATGTGAATTGTATAATATGTCTGTGTGTATGTTTCAGTTGTCTGAGTGTTATTATACAACTGTGAAGTGTATTGACTTTTGTCTGTGTAAATAAAGTTTTAAATTTACTTATGTCTGTGAGTACATGTACTTCTGTTTGAAATGTCTGTGTGTAAATATAATTGTGTCTGTGTGTATATATACTTCTGTCTGTGCGTAAATAGACCACTGCCTATGTGCTTAAATATACTTATGTCTGTGCATGTTGGTCAGATGGACAAATTCAGCAAAATGAGAGTGGTGTTGGTTCTATAAAAGCTCCAGAGGTTGGTATGGAATTTGATAGCAAAGAAGTGGTGTATGATTTTTACAAAACATATGGGAAGCGTTTAGGGTTTCCCGTAAGAACTAGGAGTACCACCAAACACAAAAATGGGGTGGATATAGTTGGAGTGTTACTAGAGTGTTCTCATGCCGGTAGTAGATCTAGTAGGTCAAAAAATCAATTGAAGCCTCAACCTTCAATGCAAATGGGGTGCGGAGCAAGAATACGAGCACACACAAATTATGAGGGACGTTGGGAAATATCAAGAACGCTTTCATAAGTTGTGCAAGACATTTGAATCTCTTGCAAACATGATTGCGGATGATGATGAGAAGTACCAAAGTGTTCTTCTTTGGTTGGAGTCTTAATTGTCCACATATACTCCTCCCCAAGTTCATCCTTCTTCCATATGTGGCAACCTTACATCTATCCCACAAGCGAGCACTAGTGTGCAAGGTGACGTTCCAAAAATCATTGGAGATCCGAAGTGTGCAAAGCGTAAGGGTGCACCGAGGAAAAACCGCCAAAAAGGGCCATTGGAGAAGGGGAAGAAGAAATCAAGTGCTAGGACCGACAATGCAAGTACCCCACAACCAACCTCTCAGGATGGCAATGGACAAGGTGGACTTAATGACATGATGAATTGTAGTGGTTTAGATTTAAATCTTAGTTTGATGTATTAAAACACAGACAAAGTGCTCGTTCTTCACAGACACATTGCACAAATACGCCACACATCACAGACATAGTGTTTGTTCTTCACAGACACACAATGTGTTTGTCAGAGATATTATAGTGTATTTTTAATTTTTGTAATGTCTATTTTTGTCAAAAAGTCTTTTATTCTAAGTATAGCAGAGTGTTTTTTCTTCACAGACAAAAGTAACACACATCAGAGACAAAGTGTGTGTTCTTCACAGACACACAATGTGTTTGTTACAGATATTATATTGTACATAGCACAGACAAAGTGAATATAAATCACAGACAAAAAAGATTTCTATGTTTATATGAACAGCAATGACAGTTAGTGTTTAACACAGAACAAAAAAGCATACCAATGTATTGTAATATTGTACAACCTCCTACATTTCACACCACAACCATCGTACATTAAATATTCTCACCCATTAAAACAAGTCTACTTTGATCGCTTCCTCAAACTCCAGAGCCTCAATGCATATTCACATCTTTTCGCTGCCATGTTCTCATACGCACACTCTGGAATCAAGGGCAACTTCTGCAACAGTGCCTCCGCAAACGCTGCTACCATAACTCCGCAAACACCGGATCTGAAAGTAATACAATTCATACAGACATTACATTTCTATGCACAGACAAATTGTATTTGTGTACAGACATGAGTGTACCCTGAGTGTTGTTGTGGAACATCATCCACTGCCTCCACTCTCCAAGGATGTGAATGGGCTATGGAGGTAACGACAGGGTTGCATTTGATGACCCAAAACAGGAGTGGAAGTCGGATACACAAAAGCCTCACAGATGCAACCGACCTACTCGTCTTCAAAGAATCGTATACCCGTACGACGTTATTGAGTAGGTCAATTTCAGATAGCACCCAATGTTTTCCATCAGTGTGCACAGGCATGAACACCTGCAGTAAAGTAAATAAAGTAGTTATTAATCAAACTAACTTTTTCATACGTATTATACAAACCAACCTTTTCATATCGACTCCAATCCATTTTCTTCAGTAATCGGTCCCCCTTCCATTGTTTGTCATCTGCTGCATCCTTCTGTAAAATTTGGTACTGGACCAAAAACAAAAGTACAGACAACAATAGTGTGAAAGCACAAACATTAATGTATCAACGCACAGACAAAACGTATCAAAACCACGGACATAATATAAAGTTTTAATGAATTACCGCGAACAAAGGGCTCATGAGTTCATAGGCCGCGATCTTTATGGATTTGCGGAACAGAAGAACTAGAGCATCCAAATGCTTAAAACAAAAAAATAAATCCACAATCAAAGCATTCAACTAAAATAGTGTAAAATGAAATACTTGTTATTATGACTCACCTCGCTACTTAGCCATTCATTTTCATCCATTAGCTCTCGGAAGAATGTTCTATTTGTCGGGTAAGATGATGGAATATCTAGGTGAAGTACGGTAGGTTCAATACCATCAATTTCCTCCACCCATGCCTTGAAAGAATCATACTCACCATCACGTCCTCCAACCTTAAGCCTCTTAGCCACCGGCGCAATGAATGGGCTACAAATGTACTTAGATTTGAACCGCTTTCTCTTCCTCAATTCTTTCATACTCACCTCTTCAATGGCCTTCATGTCTACCCCAGCAGTTCCAACATCATCACCAACCACATCCCAATCCAAGTTTTCGAATGGAACTGTCAAAGCAGGGATCTTGTCATCTTCAACCTACACATTTATAATTTGCATGTGTACTTCATGTGTACTGTCTGTGTGAACTATGAACTATCTGTGTAAATGAAAACATTTTGGAAATCGCAATGTGCACCTCTTTTAGGCACATCAAAAGATTTGTGGGAGTGTGACACTCCTCATACATGTGGCCTGTCATACTTTGCTCAGATTCCCACTTCAACTTTGAAATGAAGGTAAACCTCATTTAGGAATGATTAATGCAAAATCTTTCTTAACCAACAACAATGTAAATATCACAAGCAGTATGACTGTATCCTTAAACATACCTCGTCCACTACAATCTTTACTGGATCTATTTCCGAATTTTGTGCGTCACTATCAACAGCAATAGAATTCTCCCCTTCAGGCTAAGCATTTACACACATCACAGACATATAACATTTACACACAAACAACAAAACATATAAATACAGCCAAAACATTGGTAGTTACAGACACTGCAAACACATTAAACAACAAACCTCAGTAGCAACATTGACAATAGGATCTGCACACACATTTTGATGTTCAGTAACATCAGGACAAGATTTATCCAGTTCACCCTAACCATTTGGTATTTCACAGACACTTATTAGTTTTGCACAGACAACACGAAATGTGCATACAGGAAAAAAATTGATACATACAGACACTAAAAATAGCACACAAACTAGTTAAACAACATACCAAATGTTGTGGTTCACCAACAACATCATTACTTTTCTCCCCTTCAGCATCTGTTGCACCAACTTCGTTTTGTTCTTCCAGCTCACTTGGGGCAGAAGGACCCCCCTTACAAACCAAGAGAAGCGTATAGTAATTTTACATACAAACATATATGCAGTAAATACAGACACAACAAAATACTACACAGACAAATGATGTCTATACCTTTTCCTTTAAAGCCTTGTTGACTGTATCAATAACCTGAACCAGCAAGTGTTTCAGTTCACCAAGCTCCTCTTCCACTTTTTTGTCCAGCCTTTGAAGATTACTTTTGATCTCATCAATGTCCGAACACATTGCTTGAACTCTTTCCCTTGTTTCAACTTCAATATTGTCTTCATCTTCAGCATCGGAAGAAGGGGGTGTACGCAACTCCTATGAAAACATGAACATGATTTCGTATTATAAATATATATATTAGGGGACAATTATAATTGACAAAGTAAGAAGACTTACATCAACAAAGACAATTTCTCGTATCTTAGATGACCGGAATTTCCATGACATGACCAATTTAGTATTGGGACTTCATGATTACCAACACGGGTGCCAAAGTGTTCCCCAAATTTAGGAATTTTTTCATAAGCCCACACCTAAGTGACAAAAAGTGTCTGTGAGCATTTAAAAAGCTGTCTGGGAAGGACATAAAGTGACTGTGAGCATTTAAAAAGTTGTATGGGAAGGACAGCAAGTGTCTCAGATCATACCTGTAGGACCAATGGCAACCCGTAAACCGAAAACTTGGCGTTTTTATATTCAGGGTTGTTAGCCTTACTGTCCAAGAACATCGTTGGCTGCCCATCAAGAAGACCCTTCAAATGTGTGACAAGCAAGTGGTAAGCATCTCTTGACCACGGTTCCTTCTTGAACTCCTCAAAGTCATTCGCAAGCTGAATCGACCTCCGGTTGATCCTCGTTGTTCTGTCTCTTCCCATCAACACGTTCTCAACTACGAAGAGGGATGCAAGCTTCACCCTAGCATACCATTCCTTTTTTTATTTCCACCTAACCATTGAACCTTCTCCTTCATCATCTGGAAAGTGATATCCAGTGATCCATGAAAGTATGTATTAGCAATCTCTCCTGGTTCTTCCTCTTCTTCGGCTTGTTCATCATCGTTGTCACTATCTTCAGCCACAACAGGCCTCGGGGCTGCCACAGGTAATCCGGTTATGCGGCAGAAGTCGTTGTACGTGAACTCTATAAGTTTACCCTCAACATTGAACCAAAGCTCATCATCGGGTTGCTGCTTCACCAGCCGTAACAACAACATGTGGACTATTTGGCCACAAAACTGGATATCAGGAATATCAATAAAGTGACCCCATGGTGTCTTCCGGAAAATTTGCAATTGTTTCTTAGATAGTATCGCATGAATGTACTTAGAAGCACATTTCACATCCGAGCACACAGAATACTGTGCAGGGAAATGCTTGCTCAAAGGAATCTGGAGTTGAAGTGCCCTATCATTGTAAGAAAATAAACCATAAGTACACAGACATATGTCAAATTACACAGACAAGCTTTTAGTTACATACAGACAAACAATCACGCACATAGACATATGTTTTATTTGCACCTGCTTTTGTCTTATAGCATTATGTAGCAGTACAGACATCATATTAGTCACACAAACATATCAAAGAGTAATACAGACAATCATATAAGTCTTCACAGACAAAAAGAGGCATGGCCAATTACATATACGCTCACACAGACAAGCACTTAGACAAATCTATCTTCATATAAGTCTTCACAGACAAATAAAGGATACATACCTTTCGGCCATGGTTGATAGCGGGGTTCGCACCATTTTCGACGGAGAGCGGGAGGAGGGTTCGCAGCGAATGCGCAGCGACAACAGTCTTAGACTGTGGTTGACGGGGTTAGCGGGGTGGAGGGTTTCCTTCGATGGAGGGTTACAGGGGAGAAGGAGGCTGGTCTTCGACTGGGGTTGACGAGGTTAGCGGGGTCGAGGGTTTCGAACGTCGGGGGGTTACAGGGGAGAAAGCTGGTCTTCGTCGGGGGATTAATCGGAAGAAACAGAGCAAGGGAGAGGGGAAGCAATGGAGAAGGTGGGGATGCGGGAAAAATTTGGAGCAGGTGTTTTTTTGAAGTGTTTTGAAATTGGTTGAGGGAAAGGGGGGTAAATTATTTTTGGGGGTATTTATAGTGTGTATGTGTGTGTATAGAAAGTGTGTAACAATAGACTTTTTGTAAAAATAATCTGAACTAGGAATAGTGTTTACAAGAATAAATTGTGGTGAATTAATGTCCGTTTAATAATATGAATCCCTACTCTCACTTTTCTCTTCACAATTCTTCTTATCGAAGTCAATTAAAACTAAAATCCGTTTAATCTTAATGTCATTTCCGTCATATGTGGTTCTTTCTAGGATAGAAGATGGAAGTGTTACTCGAAAAGAAGAGTGGTGAAGGGGAAAGTAGATATAAGATTTAGGAGAATTAAATGGGAAATAATTTTAATTTACCTCAATTTATTCTTGTGATCCCTATTGCAAGTTCGAATTATTTTTATGAGTACTCTCAGTAGGGATTATTATTGAAGAATTTCTAAATGTAGAGATTATTTTTGTGAATTTCGCTTTTTTTAATGTTCCTATAAAATACAAAATTTACCGTTATTAACTTTAAAAAAAAAATGTTTTACAAAAAAACAAATTATAAATTTCAAATTTGAATTGAAAAATAAAAAATTAAAATGTTAAAGATAAAGATTTATTTTTTATATTAAAATATTAACTCTTTAAAAAAATTATTATTTTTCTATTGTAAATGAAGCACTTCAAATTCATAACTATTAATTTTAAACTTGTTGCGGAATTTTGAACACATTGTTACATTTTTCGAAATAACATTCTTTGATTTGATTTAAAATTAATAAATTTAAATTCACTATTTTGTAATCTTGGATTATTTATCATCATACAAAATATCCAATTTTATAGTGCAAAGAATACAAAAATTAATAATTTTTGTTATATTTCAACACATATGTACACCCTATGGATTGGAGATGCAGGAGCGGATTCAGGAAAGTCATCTTGGAGGCGAAAATATTTTTTGGGAAGTTCAAAATATTTTTTAGGAGGGTCAGAATTATTTTTCGTATATATATATTAAAAAAAATTGTTGGGGGCGGTAACCCCGTGGATCGCTACAACTTGTACCATTCAAAGAGATGCAATGATATGGGCCTTGTTTGGTAAATGGTTGTTAGCTGTTGCTGGTAGCTGGTTGTGTCAGCTGTCGCGAAACAGCTGGTTGTATTAGCTGTTTTGACCGACTGGTTATGTTGGCTGATTATAAATAATTGTTTGGTAAAATTGGCTCTTTCGAAATGGCTGATAGAGTGTAAATTGAACCAGCCAAATGAAGAAGCTGCTCCCCTTAGCTTCTTCCACAATCCATTTTTTCAGCTTTTCAAATTCAACAAGCTAATTTTAAAAGTCATTTACCAAACATTATTATTAGCTTCTTTGACTAATCAAACAGTTGAAATGGGTCAAACAAGCTAAAAGCTGGCTGATAAGCCATTTGCCAAACATACCATGATGATTTTGGAAAAGAGATCCGAACGAGAGGGTGAAAGGAGGGAAGACCACGGCTATGCCCCCACTAGCGAATTTAAGGCTAAGAGGTGATTGACTCTGTAATCTACTCCATACTCGATGCATTTGATGGGAAGGCCCGCATCGTAGGACATGGGGGCGTGGATAATGTGCGTATTCTAGTCCCAAAATCGAAAGTATGAAATTTCAAAATAAGACTATTTTGTTTTTATTTCTGAAATGGGATTAAAATGACAGTATTTACTGTCATCTTGTAATCGTGACTGTCGAATAATTGCAGTACAATGCATTTAACATGACAACATTTATTATAATTAATGACAATATTTTTGACAAATTATTATAATCGTCTGTATAATTGTGATGGAGCAATATAATTCCTTATAGGTAACATGTTATTGACAAGTTGACATCATCGAGTGGAGGGATATGTAGATTTAGGGGGCTTTGCCCCTCGCATTTTTTAATTGCATTAATTTTACTTTGTAAATTTTTTTGGGTACCTTATTTTTTATTTATTTTAGTATGATAGTGTACAAGACTTTGATTATCTCTCAGTTTTTAATAGTTAATAAAAATT